TGGGATGCGGATTGAACCCGCGACCCTCAGATTGTGAGTCGAGTGCCTTATCCATCTGGCCATGCCGGGCACAGGTCTGTATTGGGCAGAAGCATTGTTAGTAGTCATTCCATCTTAGTCTTCTTGCAAGAATAAAGGAGCTCTATGACAATCTGGAGTTGATATACAAGATGATGACAACATGACTGCTGGAACAGTTGCTCATCTTCTTCTTAGACGTCACTGATCTGACTGTTTCTGCCAAGAGGACCCTTAGTAAGTTTACCATTTGTTCTCCCACCCACCAGTCCAGTGAAATATTTCTTAAGCTACTTCAAGTTGCATTCCACCTAGAAGTGTGCCCAGATTTCATCTTGATGATGTTTCTCTTCTGTGTATCCCTCCAACAGGCACCCAATGTACTGTCATGTTTTCATGCTTTCCCACTGTTGTTAAACTAATGTTGTTTCCAATATGGAAAATTGGATAAGGTGGATTTCAAGTTGTCACTTGACCCCACAAGGTTTTCATCCACAAATCGTCCTCTGATGGTGAAATTGTCCAGAAAACAGGAAAGGAGAGAGGTCAGTCTACATCCATAAGCATTGGAGCTGCAAGCACATCAGTATCACAGGGATTCTCATCAAGTCCTTCAGTTACACATTTTTACTGATGTCTATATCCAAACTTTCTTCTATGATGAAGTCTAAAGCTTTAATATGGCAAGAACACAAAGCCAGGAATTTAATCTGGCTCTGATCAAAGTAAAAGTAATTGAGCTGATCACCGATTATCTCTAAGCCAAAAAAAAAGCAGTAAAATCAACACTGGTCCACCTATTCTCTGACAAGTTAAAATTTAAGTGAAATCAGTGGACTAGTGAAATCCACATTCCAATTACACATTAATTTTTCAAAATCATCAATACATAGCTGTGAGTGTAAGCTTTACACATACCATCTAAAATAAAGCTCTTTCTACCGCATAACTTTAGGCAGATCTCTATACCATTCTACAAAATCCTGCCACTTACATGTTTGCTGACAAATAAAGGTTTCTTGTTCTCCCTGGAAGCTAAACACTCTCAACCTATCATTATGACACCACCATAAATGGCAGAAGAAGCAAAAAATAAAACTATTGCAAACCGTAGGCAGTTGTTTACAATCACTGCAGTAAGATCCTCATAAAATGTACTGTATACGAAATACAGTTTCACTTATGATATTGTCTGGCTTGTCAGTAACATCACAAGCTACCTACTGTTCTCTTTAGTCTATGCATGTGTGAAAGGACATTAAAACTAGGTTATAGTCTGAACCTTTGTCAAACTGATTATTTGCTAGCAAGAAAGACAGTCAAGAGAATTATTGTGGACTGCAAAGTGATTCCAAGAGAGGCAGTAGTGATCGACATAGTCTTTTGGTCAAAAACATGAAAGTAAGAAAAGAGAAAAAGAGCAAGAATAGGAGAAGATAAAGTGAAATAAAAGATTGGACACTCAACAGAGACAAGGTCATTGAATACAAAAATGAAATAGCAAAACTATGAGAAGATATACAGGGGGAAGAGAGTACATATGGAATGAGCTGAAGGGGAAAAGTAAATAAAGAATGGAATAAGATGAAAACAATACTGGTAGAAGCAATAAATAAAGGTTGTGATTTCATGAAAGGAGGAAAATCTTAAGGAAGAGAAATATTGGTGGAATAAAGTGCAAGATGTAATAAAACAAACAAAAGAGGCATTTAAAGAAATGTCAAATAATGATGATGAATATGCAAGAACTAGATATGAAGAATGTAAGTAAAATGAAAGCAAAAAGTATAACCTGGAAAGAGTAGTATGAAAATGTAGGAATGCTAGAGAGATAAATATAGGATGGCAAAATCAAGAGAACAATCTAAAAAAGATGTTGGAGAAACAAATATGATAAAGAACAAACAGGGTTGTATTCAAGTTGATGAAAAGGACATCAAGAAGAGATGGAAAATGTATAATGAAGAATTGCAATGTACAGAAAATGAGAGGGGGATTGTGGAAGGATTGAGAGTCATAGAGAGTCCAGTGGAAGAAGGTTGAAGAGAGCCATTGACCTGGGAAAGCAAATGATCCATTATAAGTTGTAGTGGAAATTATAAAAGCTTTGGAATGGGAGGGCATTGAAAGGGTATGGAAGCTTCTGCTGGAAATATGGAAGAAGAGAAAATACCTTCAGATTAGAATTAAAACAAACTGGTTCCTGGAAACAAAAAGGCAACATACTAAACTGTGAAAATTAAAGATGCATTAAGCTAACTAAACATATTTTAAAAGTGTTTGAAAGAGTAGTAGAATATAAGTTAAAAGAAATTATACAGATTGATATAATGCAATGTGTATTTTATGCCTAGAAAGGGAACAATACAGCTGCAAGAAAAGTTTTTAGTGGGGAACAGGAAGCTGAATAAGTGCTTTGTGGATTTGAAAAAAAAAACAATACGGTGCCACTAAACATTGTTTATTGGTGTCTCAGGAAGAAGAGAGTCCCAAAGAAGTTGGTGAGGATATTAAAATTAATGTAAGATGGAATGAAGACAGCAGTA